CTTGGATGATGCTAATGCCAACAGTACTCCAACTTTTAAGCTTCATAACTCAAGATTTATTTTATAAAAAAATATTTTATTTATGTGTTTTGGAAAGTTCTCGAGGCGTGCTATAAGAACATGTAATGAAAAATTAGAGGTTCCATTTAAAAAATTCAAAGTGACCTTGTCCTGACCTTGACGACGCCACTCAGGGTCAAACCAATGTTATCATCTTATGTCCCCCTCGAAACCTTACAACTTTTGTTTGAAAAATTTTTCTCTCCCGGGCTTGATTTTCGAGATATTCGACTGAATGGATTAAAATGGTCCACGCTATATATGTGTGAGAAGACATCGACGAAAATAGACTAATAGAAATATGAACAAAAGAAAGAAAGACAAAGAGAAATATGAACCAAAAGGAAGACTGTGAAAGTATTGTGTACACTGTACAGGGGCTGTATGGAAGAAAGTGAGGGGATCGTTGCGTGACTTTTTAAACGTTCTGCGAAGACTACTTCTGTGGTCTCCCGAAAAAAGTTGGCAATCTTTCACAAGTATGCACATTAAGTGAAATAATTTTATAAGTTCATATAAATTATTTTTTACGACATATTGTTATCAAAAGAGATTATTCACCTTCTTTAAAATTAAAATTTGAAAAAAATTTTAAATAATTTTTCATATACTGTATCTTTAATTGTCTATGCAAGCTAAAGCAGATATCAATGCATATGAAAGGGAAATAATCTTTTTATATAAATTATACAAATTATATTGGTTACTTAAACAGTTACTTAACGTTGATTATTTGACGTTTCGATCCTTGGTTTGAATCCTTTTCGAATCCTCACTTGCTGAAAAAAAATCATATATTTATGAACCAATTAAAGTTTGTTTAAAACTCTTGAATTTTAAATGCCTTTGAGTTTATTTAGAAACCGGTTTCCTTTTTGCCGCAAAAAAATATTAAAAAACCATTTTTGGCTCCTTTTATTCCAGTTTATTCAAAATTCTGACGTGCTAAGCAAATTCTGTCAACGGCATCGTATTCAGCGCGAAAAATATTCGGGAAACGTATTATCGTGCTTTTTTGTGTTCTTGGAAAACACATCTGCAATCAGCATTTAACTATAAGCAGATTTATTACAAGTATAATTAATTTGAGAGATAGGGCTAATCTGTAACCTCCAGCCTCGTACGTATTTACTATCAATTAGATAATTCCAATATACGATATCTTTTCAATCTTTTTTGACTTGATTCTTGTCCTAGTGTAGAACATTGGCAAGTTGGTTAGGATTATATAATTTTTGGCAGTATTTTGAACTTTTGATCTCTTCCTTAACTGTAAGTATTTACAAATATTCATGCACTTCGATGTTTTTTGTAAACCAGGGAGCTTGTGTCCCTGATAGCACAAAAGATTTCAATTATATTACAGACAACGTGTTTATTATTCTGATAACGTTGTATGATTTCAACATTTGAATTGCTGGCCGTGCCCCACAATTCCAGTCCGTAAGTCCATATTGATTTCAGGATTTGTTTTTATATATTAAGAGCTTGTTTTCTAAATTAAGCTTTGATTTTTTTACCAAACAAAAGCATCAGTAAACGGATTCTGTTAGCTAATTCGTTGCGTTTAACGCGAATATATTCTTTCC